CCCAAAGGAGGAGATAAGAAGACACGCCGCACTTACTGGCTACTTCCAGCGAGGCGTTGTGGCTCGCCGCCTCCCCCAGGTAGTTCCGGGCCACGCAGACGTAGGAGCCCTCGTCGGGCTTGCTCCGCCGCCCGTGCACGATGCGCAGGAAGAAGAGCGAGCCGCTGGGCAGCAGCATGCGGTGCGAGCGCGAGTCGTCCCGGTCCGTCTCCACCCGCTCGCCGTCCTTGTACCACTCCACGGTGGGCGTGGGCCGGCCCTCCGCCTTACAGTTGAGGGTGGCCGGCTCGCCTTTGGATACGATCAGGTCGGACGGATGCTCCACGATGCGGGGCGGCGTGTCCTCTTGGCGCAGACGGGACCCTGGAACAACAACAACGGGACAACGTTTTGAGATTTAGATGGCGACGGACTCTGATTTTTCATAATTAATTGATCCGCTTCCTCCCATTGCTGCGGTCACCCTCGCAGTGCCAAAAGGCGCCTGCGTAGCTTCAACTCGTTAGCGCCTCTTCAGTTTTCAAATGTACAAACGGCACAGGCGCAAAGCGACTGCTTTTTCATTCCGATTGTCTGGATGCTTTTCACTCAAACGTCGACTGCCATGATGACTCGACAGTACATTCCGACTCGCGGATAAAGTGACGACAGCGCCGTTAGAACGGAACTCCGACCCTCAGTAGGTCACAAAGTTGATGTGTTGATCAGACAAAAGAACTCGCAAGAATGCTCCGACAGTCGAGGCGTGGTGACCTTTAACCGCCCGCGACTGAATTTTCTCAGGTGGGTCCGATGATTAATGCACTAAAGCATGGGCCCGAATGTAATGATTAATCGATGACACGCTTGGAAACTGAAACGCTGATAACGGTCGGGGAATGGTAAGCGATTCGAGATTTGACCTTGTTGAGCTGCCTTTTCACATTCCTGTGTTTCACGTTTAGTCATCAAGCGTCGCTGCTGCAATGCACCGCCCGCGCCCAATGACCAAAAATATCCAAATAAACAGCAAAAAAAAAAAAAAATTGGCTCATGTTAACCGCATGTTTGTCGCAATCTGATCAAATCTCGACGACACATCTCGGGAGGACCGCTGGAAACGGACAAAAGCAAGCCCCAAATGGCCGCTTCGACACAAAATGGCAGACTTGGACTTTGCGGGCATGGTTTCATGAGACTTTTTGGTGGCTCTACTAATGATAGATATCGCTGCCAAATGTCATGCAGCGAAGTGAAAGTAGCTCCGTCCTACCAAGTTCTTTGGAGTTGTGTTTCGTGGCCAGTCGCCAAACTTTGCCACGCCGCGCTTCACCCACACACAATGGCGAGAGGTTAAATCCCTCGCCATTTAATGTCGTCTATCTCTCACTAATATCATCGCTTCAAATCGAAGTAGCAATCTGAAAAAATATCAAATAAAAGAATGACTCCACGAATGAACGCCGGACTTCTTTTGTATTTTTGGGCATCGCAATCGACTTTTTTTTGTGGATGTGACGAAAGACATCGGTGCCAAATTTCTTGTTGCTTGGTAAATACGACATCAGGGGTGGAGTTGGAAAAAAAAAAAACCAAATCTCGAGGGGCGATCATGAGACATTTTGGAGGTTTTGAACAAGCCCCCAATTTGACCAGGATGAACACATCAGCCAAAGGTGAGCCTTGAGGATGGCTAATTCCCTCGTCAAAAGTTTCCCTCCGTTAATTCAGAATCCAGTTTATGGGGCTGTCATATGAGCGCGTGACCTTTCATCCCAGAAAGACTCGCTTTGATGACACTGCCGTCAGGTGCCTCGCAGATCAAACGGCACAGCGGAGGGCAAAGGCGGCGGCGGCGGCGGCGGCGGCGCCTTGACGGCAAAAGGAAATCAAGTGACAGAAGATAAGCGAAGGACGCGCGTGTGTGTCGCCTGGCGACAAAGAGGAGCGCTGAACTGAAACCAACAC